AGTAGGCCAAAACCGGAAGATAGAGAGCCTGAAACAAGGAGTCACCATTGGCAGGCAAGACGTTCTCAAGGCATTTTCTAGCAGTTCCATTTTTGTCCAAACATAAAACGGCTGCACAAACACACCATCAAATGGTATACAATCATTTACACCCCTAGTCTCTTCCACCTGGGCGTGTCTACCCCGGAGCCGTCCCGTTCTCCCCGTCCCCTTCGAACTCCGTGCCTCGAGGCGCGTGATCTCTTCTTCGCGCTCCAGGATCCGGCCTCTGAGGTGGGAGCCGAACCAGCGTGCGTGCGATGCGTGAGGTAGTGGCGAGAGGTGGGAAGCGTGCGGAGCAGTGCGGAGCGTCACCCGGGAGGTGTGGTACCCGCCGAGATGCGGATCGATCTGCGGCTTTCCACCAAATCGTATGGTTTGGGTTGGCCACCGTCTGAAGGCGCTTTCAGGGGACAATCCCGGTGCAGGACCAGCCTCAAAGGCGTTTCTTTAACCAGACGATTTGTTCTATTCCTTGGTATCAAGATGGCTTTCAAGTCTTTCAGAGAGTTTCACTTTTGGCAAAGCTCCCCAAGAAGTGTGAGACAGATCACAAACATGTATATGATTGTATATGTACATTGTACATACACACATACACATACTAAAACACATGTCTTCGACAACTCAAATGAGCCGCTCTAAAAACCTGCCTTGACATCTTAAGTAAGGACCTTGTCATATCGAATTCCGCGTAAGCAAAACCCTGGGTTGCGTAAGATTGCGTAAGCATTTCGCGTAAGCATTTCGGAAGTTTGCTTTGCGTAAGCAAAAGTGAGGGCCGCGTAAGCAGCGCGTAAGGCTTCGCGCAAGGAAAGTGATACGACATAGGGAGTGACTCCAGGGTTTTAGAGTGGCTCAAATGGGTATGTTGGCATATAACAGAATACACACATTGAGGTCATTTCTTGTTCCACGTCAGGCTTCTGTCATAACAACCGCAAAGAGGCAAGGCCACGGCATCTTCAATGTTGCAGGCCAAGGCCATGGAGGTTTTGGTGGAGATCAATTTGAGAAATGGCCGTGGGCGCCCAGTAACACTTTGGATCATTCTATAAAAAGCAGACACATCTCGGGAAGACATCATAGCGAACCATGAAACTTCATGGCAAACACCCGGATCTTGTTTTCGTGTTCGAATGCCAAATCAACTGGAGGTCGTGTCTGTCATCCCTTCGAGAGGTCGTGTCTGTCATAGGCGATGGATTCGCAGACTCTCACTCAATTGGGCTGCTGAAACACTGCTGAGTCAGCGAAGAACTGTTCAGCACTCCAAAAAGAAACTCCATCAACCCGAGTCTTGCGATATCGATGAAAAGGCCTCGTTTCAGCCTGGAGACCTGCCTCGACCAGCGGCTTTCACAGAACACTGAGATGCTTCGACAGTCGCGAAGCTTTGACTGAGACCTGCCTGTTGAAGCCGTCACCGCGGCGAAGGAGGTGGTCAGCATTTTTCGGCAGGCGAGGTGCCGCGAGTCTCAGAGTGGAGAAGCGAAGTGCACCGATCGATAAAACTTAACACTATAGCTATTAATGTTTCTGATGAATAGTATTGGAAAGAGGGAATAACTCAAAATCTCTTGCTGCCAAGAGATTCTGCAGAATGATTGTACAACAGGTGCAGATCAAACGCAGTGGTCGCCCAGGACAAACGATAAACATGGCGACCGGACTTTTGAACATCGTTTCAGTGCAAAAGGCAGGTGATCAACGAGGAGAAGCGCTCGCTTTGCTGTTGGGGGCTCCAAGACCAAGCGAACCGTTCTGTGTGTTGTCAGCAGGCTTGACTTACATTTTCTGATTTACTTTGGAAGCCGAATCCCTTCACCGTCCGAACCCCCCGGAGCCGTCGTCCAGTTATTAAGTGACCCCATGCCCTCGAGGTCCGTCGCGCGGCTGCTGCTGGACTTGGATCCCAGCAGCGCAAAGCGGCTCACCAATGTAGCCAGGGGAGCACAGTGAACTGGAAACGCCTTGTAGCCTTGTGATGCCTTGTGAACCAGAAACGCCTTCACAGGATATGGGGATCTGGTCGTTGTTTTGTAGGGCCTTTGTAGGATTTAGTCCATTTCTTCACGCTCCGAACCGAAAAGGCACTTGGTGTCTCATTGAGGCCCACGACATGATGAAGGGCCTCAGAATGGAAGAGGTGAAGGAGTGCGAGCGCTTACAGGTGCCAAAGTTGAAGATGGTGAGTCGTGGATGGGTCAGGTAGCACCTAGGGCTAGGGCTTGCTTGTCATTGTGTCTTGGTGGCCAAGTGGCTGACATGAGACATCATGAGACAACGTAGATCATGGCACTTCTAGTGGTTTAACGCACAGTTGCACCAGTGCCAGGCGGAATGTGAGCATGGTGAGGCGGTGTCAAAAGTGCAGCATGCCATCTACAAGCATCGAGACTTTTTGCACGTGCTGCTTGGGCGAAGAGAACGGCTTGGGGAAAGGATCTCGTTCGGATCGCCTTGCACCGAATTTGCGCCCTGTGGTCAAGGGCGAGTGGTTCAAGCCCTGACGCCCCTCAGCTCGTGCGGATCTACCCGCTTTGAACATTAAGGGCCCACCGCGACGAAGCCAAACTTTCAATGGTTTTGCAACAAAACTGGCCTCCAATGCGCTTTTTTGGGAAAGCATGGCTGGTCTGCAAGCTCCCGTGTTGCCATGCCTGTGCATGCATTGGCAAAAGTTCAGGAGCGGCACCGCTTATAGAAATCAGGTCGTAGCAGTCACTGAGATGGAGAAGCCTGTGGCCCTAAAGTCATGGTATTTACAGGAAAGGCTGAGACTGGATGGAAACCCAGGGATTTGGAGGAGAGGAGAGGGCTGCCGTGATCCCAGCGACAGTACCCACATCTTCCATCGTCCCTAGTCTAACACTTTCCCCCACAAAAAACAAGCTTTCACCGCAATGCCGGCGTTCCTGGGTTTGGGATTCTTTTCATAAACATTCTAGTTCCGAAAGCCTGATCCCGCACGGTGGCGATTTGTGCGCGTGCGCACAGCGGCTCCGAGGCCACGTGTTCTCATTGTGGACCCTGGAGGTCGCAGGGAGACCTCAGAGCATTCTTGCCGTTGGATAAAGGCTTGGTTGAGCTTGCTAGTGACGGAGTAGGTTGGTATAGATTCAGGTGTTGGCCCCCAGACTAGAGTCATAGATGCACCAGCTAATAGATTCAGTGGCGAAAACACGGAACTGTTCAATTTCTGAGGGCTATATAACTATCTCCGCTAAGGCCAAAAACTCCAGCAGGACTTTGAAGACTTTGCGAAGGCCTAGCGTACTGCGTGGGCTGGGCAGCTAGGCCCTGATAGCATATGATAGCTCCCTTTTCCGTGCCTTAAGATGACCCGAAAAAGAACGAAGCAGGAACACTGAGGCTGTCTCTGGGACCAGTCTCCTTGTCTCAGGGATCAACACCGAGTATTGCATCAGGTCCTGTCCGCCGTGGTGCTTCGTTGGGCCAGTTGTTCTCTTCAGTGGACGTGGGGAGTCGGGTAGAGCGCCCTACGCACATCAGCAGTGCCCCCGCCAGGCAGTTTGAGCCCTGCCTTCGCCTGAGAGTTCGCTTCGGGTCACCGGACATGCGGTTGCGCCTATGCATCCTGGTCGTGGGTTGTGCAGCGGGTTCAATCCCAATTAGGCTAAGAGGATGTTGGATCCTGCAACTGAAGGCTTCAAAGAGAGATGAGATAAAATAGCTATTTTTCTCCTCGCTTCAACAAGATCTTATGTTATGCTGTAACTCGTCTACTCGTGTGAGTCACGTTGCAGCGGCGCGCGGCGCGAGGCCTCGTTGACCACAAGACTGGCCAATGTGTTGGATTTCTGAGTAGTACTGAGCAGAACACAGGTGCTGTTTTGCTTTTATCACGTAGTTATTCCAAGCGAAACGCGGTGTGAAACGACGCCCGCGAAAACGGGCGCCCTCTTCCAGTTTCGGCCACTGGCCGGTGCGCGGTTCAAAGCTGGCCGTGTGGAGCTGACGGGAAAAGGGGTGGAGAGAACCAGAGAAGAGACGGGAGGAAGATGCGAAGGCTGATCAAGTCCACACCCATCCACAAACCTTCAGGTGGATGGGAACGTTCGTTCTGATCAAACCTGCTTTGGCTCAGCTGGCACGCCCAGACGAGTCACCTGTCCATGGAGAGTGTCGAGCATGGCAGAGGTACGACGCTGTGGATCAGTCCACGCAGACGCCGAGGCGCCTCTTTCGTCCAAATCCGTGGCCGCAGCAGAACTGATGAGTCGATGGATCACCTGCTCGAGGGTGCGGCGCAGGAGGAGAAGACTCGCCAATCTCGCAAAGGGGTGTACCTGCCATTTGCGAACTATTACCGGCAACTCACATTCAGGATCAGTGACTTGATGCCAGAGGTTCGCGTTTATTCTGAAGGGGACTGCACTGTGTCGGTTGACTTTGTGGTGGCAGCTGTGGTCTTGGTTTTGCTTCTTGCTTTATTGGGCCCAGTCTTGATTCCAATTGCAATTCTTTTTTGTGCTGTGTGGGATAATGATCGGAAATGGTTTGACTGGTTGTTGCAACCGCTGATGGTTGCGTTGGCCTGCCTTCCACTGTACTTACTGTGGGCCATGACTGACACGGCATTTGAAAAGGACACGTTGCAAGAGTTCAGGAGAGCGGAAAATTCCATGCTCGAGCTTTGCGGCCCATACCTTTGTCTTCTGATTTTCTCCTTCGTGTGCCTAGCAGACGTGTGCCAGTGTTGCATTGAGAAGGGAACTGGCCAGATGCTTTTGGACGAAATGCATGAGATCAAAGAACAGGAAGGCTTTGTCCGAGAGATACCGGAGTCAGAGCCGGAGCCCTTGGGCGGTGGTGACAACTTGGGAGAGCAGCTCTGTGAGATCGTACAATACATTCACAGCACGGTGGGACGGCATGAAGAATCTTGGGGCTGCGAGTGTCTGCAGGAAGCTCCAAGCAGTCTGACGAGCAAGTTCATGGGTGTGATTCTCAAGATTTTGCAGCGCATGTTCGAGGATGGGTATCAAGACGAGAAGGATGAAAGTCAGGAGCTAAGAACAATGTTGGAGGAGAATTTCATCACTCCTGACCAGGCCATCGCAGCATTTCGGGCTTGGGACGTTTTTGGTTTAGGGAGAGACTGAGGAGACCGTTAGGTGACCAGGTCTGAGCGTTTGCCTGTCCAAACGGAGACCTCTAGGTCAGGTTGTCCAAATTTTTCGACCCCAGGTCTCGCCTTTGCAGCTGGTGTGGTTAGTATTTTGCAGCCTTGGCCCCACGCTCCTTCCAACCGTCTACCGCTTCGTCAATGGCTATGAAGACTTTTTGTTTTCCAGCCACCCCGCTGTGAGGCGATGCCAGTATGCATACTTGCTCATAACTTTCTCGACTTCAGCACACCTGCTCAGTTCCTGTTATGATCTGAATGAGCGCCTGGAGAACATGCAACTCGCCACGCTGGCAACCTTGTATCTCGTTGCGCCCACCAAGCGCCGTGCTGTACTTGCTGCCACCTACAAGCGTCGCTTCAAGAAACTGGTACTCATGCCGACACCTCAAAATTCAGTAACTACTCCTCTTGCCGAAGCAGAAGTCCAGAGGGTCACAACTGAGGCTGGCAGAACTCTCTCAGAGGGCTTTGGCCAGTTGAGATATGTCATGGACCAGAGGGAGCAGAATGCTTGGAAGCTTTTCCAGATTGAGTACGAGACAGCTTGTGGAGTTGAGAAAAGCAGTCCCAGTCCAACTTTACATGGCACCACTTCATCCCATGCCGATTCTGCCTTCACGGATGATGATGATAATGACAATCATGATGCCAACAAAGGCACCTTCTCATACCTTGCAACACGCAAATTTGCTTTGCTTCAACTCTTAGCCAGGTCAGATTGCTTGGTACTGGAGGTGAAATCGCAAGTGGTAGCCTTGGTTCTCACAATGATAGTGGTGATGTGTGCTCTCATTGTTGGGTTTTCCATTGGGTTGATGCACGGTCATCATGCAATCACTCCATTGTTTTGCGTGATTTTCTTGCCACTCATTGTGATCGGGATGCTTCTCATCTTGAACAAGCTGGTGATGCTGGAGGTCTACCTGTACGAGGATACCTTGAAGATTTTACAGTCTTGGCGTGAGCGCATGGAACGACTAAGGTATGCAGTCACTCTTCACAAAGCCAGCACCGCGAATCGGGCGGAACAGGAGAGCTTTTTCCACAGCGGCTTGGACCCAAATGAGCAAGCACCAAAACCTGCGATGACCAGTTGAGTAAAGAGCGGTCGGGAATTTCAGGGATTTGGCTAAAACAAAAGCGGTAGGCCCCCTCAAAGCGACAAAGCCATGTCACTGCAGCTTTTGGATATCTTCCATCTATTTGTAAGAGAAAACCACTGGGGTGCCGCCATTGACCTCGGAAACCACTGGAATTGTGTGGAATTGTTGTTTTGAGCGTGTTGTCTCAGAAGAAAGTGGCGGCCAGCTCCTTTTTTCAAGGTGCGGAGTTGCGTGGTTTCAGGGTTTGTTTGGAAGCTACCTGCGATTTTGCTGCACATCATTGTGATTTTAGAAAGTGTCGAGATCAATCGAAGCGTGCCACAGGGTGCACATGTTGCTATTCTAACCGCAGTGCATGCATGTCAGACGCAGCACTCGGTGCTCGGAAGGCCCAGTACAGTAGTACATGGCAGGTTTATGGGAATTGTGAGGAGGCAGCTTGCGTTGTTGTGCCCTTTAGATGTGCTTTTCCCCTGTGTGTTGGGGCGTCGTCGTGTTGCTGTATCTTTTTGAATGGGCTGTGCCGCAGAAGTGCAGATTTGGGGACGAAGCGAAGATGTCTCGAAGTGGATGGTCATCTTGCAAGAAGTGTCCACAAGAGTCTCGTACAAGACTTGAATATACAAAGATTACAAGAGTGTTTCTGGTCCAAACACGTTTTTTCAGCAAAGGGACGCTTCAGCGAAGAGTTTTGACACGCATGCCTCACCATGACATGCCTCACCATGACATGCCTAAAAAAGCTGTTTGGTTGCACAGAGCTGTTCCAGCGCTCTGAGGCAGAGCTGTTCCAAGGTTTGGATTCAGGTTCATGGATTGATCGGGTCACATCAGGTCACATTGGGTCCAACTCTTGCCTGCGATCCCGAGGTCTCATCGACCCTGTGGCTGGCCTGATTGACTACACCAAGAACTGGCAAAAACGCGTCAAGATCTTTGGCCTAAATGCATCTAGCTCGCGCCGGAATCGCATTCTGCTGTCCATCATCGCGTACTTTGGCCTTGTGTTTTGGCACTTCTTGTCACACAAAACATGGTACATAGAGCTGCAACAAGAGTTTTCAACGATTGCCATGTCTCATGGCGTAGTAGTACTTCCGGAGTAGTGGCCAAGTGAGAACGAAGGCCTGCGTTTGTTTTTATGCCTCCCCTGCATTGGTTGATTGCAACCAGTTTTCCTTGTGGGTGTGGCCAATGTGCAGTAGCTGGTTCCGTCAGGAACGTAGCGAAGCCAAAACGGCAGATAATCAACTCCTGGGATGGTAGTGGATGTACTAAGTGTCCTTGGGTTTGACACATGAAAAGAATGCCGCAGCGCCGCAGACTGCAATGAAGTTTAAAGCATTCCTACAAAGTCCATCCATCCCAGCGGATCAGCCACCTATCCGCCACCGAACTCCACAGAACCGGCCAAGCTGCTTGCTGTGTTGCACAAGTTCGATCGCGCAAACAAGTTCGATCTGCAGCAAACGTACCGCTTTTCCATCTGTTTGAGCAATTCTGGGTGCCTTGGCAGGGACAGATTCCTAGAGAATGGGCGGTGTGAGAGATGCCGAGAGAGAGAGAGAGAGAGAGCGGGGGGGGGGGAGCGTGCACGTGCGAGAGCGAGCATCAACATGCACTCACCTCTGCGGATGATTTGCTGCAAAGGGCCAGTCAAAGGTGTTGAGCATGGCAAACTGTCAGCAGCTGAAGAAATGCGACCCAATTCCCTCCTCAAAAGGTCCAGACTAGGCTTCCCGGTACACCGTGAAGGCAAGGCTAGTAGGGTGTTCCGGAGGTAAGCAATGCAATTGTTTGATATTTTTTGTCAAAAGGAGCTACTGGGTCTGAGTCGTTCTTTCAAACTCAAGGGAGCCCGCCCAAATGCAAACTTCTGAAGACACCTGAATTGCATCTTTTTGCTGTATGTCCCCGGCGACAATGGCACGCTGGTGGATGAGTTCGAAAGCCGCTTGGACTTACTGTACCATTTGTTGACCTTGCTTGCGAAGCAGCTATCTACGACCATTGGTCGAGCACTCTCGAGAAGGGGAGATGGTTTCCGTTGGTCCAACTTAGATCACTCTCGCCGAAAGCGAGCGTTCAGCGGATGATTGGTTCAGGGGCTGGCGTTCTTGGCATGCCTGAGCCGAGTAGCGTCGGAAGAGGCCGAGTAGCGGGGTTTGCTTTCGGCATGGCACACTCTGCATTGTGTCACGTTGCTTGATCATGGCTCTACTAGTACAGGGACTAAAGACTACTAGAGACATCAGTTTTCAACTCTGAACCAATCAAAGCCCCTCTGAGCTTCGTCTCCTTGGTAGCGATTGGAAGGCGCCTTGGACGGTGCAATGCAATGCAGATTGCGGCGGGGTGCGGACGCTGGGTCAGACTGCAATGCCTTCGACTGCAGACATTCTTCTTTTGGTTGGCTTAGGGTTTAAGGTGCCTTAGGTGCTCAGTGATGTCTTGAGAAGTACCACCCAAATCTTTTTGATTCACACCATTGGGGCAAGACCATGGACTGGACTGCGGAAACTTGGGGTTCCCAAGCTCGGGTCGCGAGTACCGCCACTCTGGACGGTGCGGACAGAACAGCGGGTTCAGGCCACCAGTCAGACTTGCCAGTCCTCACCAGGACCTCTGGTGTTTCGTGTTTCTTTTTGCAGACCTCCTCTCCACCACAGACCTCGGCTTCTTCCTAGACATCGAGCCTAATGTGGACTCTTGATTGAAGCAATCCCCATTTGGATTGAACAACTGCTTCATTTGGGGGGTCTATTAATCAATAGTCTACATTACCTCATCAAGGTTGTTTCACAGAAGTTGGCTTTGTTGAGATTGTGTCCGATGACGGCTCTCAACAAGGTGAATACCTGTGCGGAGAAGCAGCTGTGCGAAGGCACCATTGCAAGGGCCTAAGAAGACACGCAAAAGGGCCTAAGACCCCCGTGGTGCAGCGGAAAGCACCACAAGAGTTGAAGAAGATCAAAAGCAAGAAGATCAAGACGTAAGGAGTCACTTCATCATGGCTTGTGACTTGTGTCTATCCATCCTCTTTGATTCCATTAGCAATTCTTGCATCACCGGACCAAATTAGTCCTTTGGTATACCAATGACCTTGTCACCTTTCCTCCTTCGCTCCACTTCTCCTTCGCTCCACATCTACCAACACCATGTGCTTGGTGCTCTCTTCATTCGACCCCGATTGTCCGGCTCCGCCCGCCCGCTCGAGCCGCTGTCGAGACCCTGGTAGCGTCGTTTAAGGAAGAGACCTCCACATGCCCTGATGCGGAGCCCTGCAGCTTGCCTTGCATTTAAAAACCAGTCATGGATCCCCTTCTTGGTTTGTTGTTCCGTGTTATTCAACTGTTGTTGCCCTGTATTTATGTAAACCTTTGGTTTGGTTTTCTCCAGTTTTGAGGACTGTTGTTGTCGTCGATGGATTCCATGGCCGCATGTCTGCCACCTTTCCATTGGCCGCTCGACACCTTTCCAGGCCTTGGTGGAAGTGGCAGTGAACGGGATTGTTGGCCGAAAGACTGCCAGTCCTTTGGCCAAGCTGGACATCTTTGGAGAGAACCTGTCGAATTTTCGCCGTTGGACGCGAGATCGAGATCAACAGATTCAGGAATGCAACACGGATAGACGACCTCTCAACAGGAAAAATGTCAGACGACCTCTCAAGATAAACTTTTCAGCACGGCTTCCCATTCAATTACGTTTTTTTTTTTTTTTTAAAGTATCCTGTATTATATATAATGTATTATATATATACACAGTATATAATTGTAATATATATAAATATATATATATACACACGTCATTCCGTCATTCGTCTTCGTTCCTCATTTTCAGTGACGTCGAGGTGGGGTGAATGGCGTGACTGGGCCAACGATGGTGTCTCAGGGCTTTGCACACGGACGAGGCGGCGCTGGAGTTCGGGTGGCCAACTTGAGAGACCCTGCTCAGGAGGTGAGACACCGTTTGGAAGCTGCCTCCCGCCGCATCCCACCGAAGCGGCTGTTCATCATGAGGTACAGTTACGATCAGTTACGTGCCTGTCCTTGAGGCTCTTGGCAGGTCACTCCAGCATAGATTAGAAGCTAACGTATGCGAACTGCTGTGACATGATTTTTGTGATACCGTCTACTTGGTAGGCAGTTCAGCCCCAGCGAGTGCGGTGGACAGCAATGCTTGGGCACCACCAAAGACACCATGTGAGCGCCTCAATTCCCTGCTGCCATGGGTCAGAATGTGATGATGTATTCTTTTAAAGGAATGGAGATGCAGTCACTTTATGGCGATCCAAGAATCCGAGCCTCACGTGTGCGTTTTCACACTACCACTACTGCTGTTTGTTTTCTTCTTTGACTGAGAAGCATCATTGCATCGAAAGAAGTTGCAACTACTGCAGCCTTTGCATTCCTACTTTTCACTTGGGTCTGTGACAAGTACTGTTTGAAGAGAACCCCCCAGACCAGGCTTTATCCCATCTAGCCACTGGCAGTCTTCATCCGAAGAACTCAAACCAGATCCATTCTGTAGCTTCTGTCGACTTGATCCGGAAGTGATCAAGAAGTTCAGCCGGATTCCTTGTTCCAAGGTACCTTAGACTTCTGTAGACTCAGTTGATGAACCGGTTCATTCACCGGAGTGCCAAGGTACTGTGATCCCCTGGTGCATCCACCCTCGCCTTGTGAGCTGGGAAGCCGATGAGCTGTGCAGACGGATGGATAGACACAGATGGACCTCCCAGATGGACCCCTCAGTTGAATAGAGGAGGAGGCTCAGAGGGGTGCAGTGAATCAAGCGAACACAGTGCAGTTGGGTTTACTTCGGTGGTTTGGCTGGCAAAGCTCCGGGGGCTCCAGCACACCCAGGTTCGACGAATGGGGGCCTTGGGAGGCTTGCGATTCACAGACTTTGCAGAGGCCGAACAACTCATTCGCGGTCACTGCCATGCGGCCAAAAGTAGAATTGGACAGTTTGGCTCCAAAGTATGTCGCTTGTGCCACCCATGGTTGCAGCATGGAGTCTCATTTCCAAATTTCTTTTGATCAACATCCTTGGTCCGATAGTGAACCAAAGAAACCATGCCTGCACTGCACTGGGCCGTTGAGCAAGACCATAGCAGGTAAGCATTCCGTGGCAAACTTGTTGGTGTCCAGAGGGTTTCAACTACCACGGTTTCATTACTCCTTATGATCGAGTGCGGCGTGGAGCCAGGAGCCGGTCACGGAAGGTGAAGAAAGAGCCGGAGTATGGTGGAACACCCTGCAACGCTGGGACCTCCGCTGCGGCTTTTTGTCTGACTTATCATACTGGTTTGGGTAATGAAAGAGCTGGGTCATCTACAATTTCATGCATTTTAGATCATTTTGCTTCCGTGCATGTCCACCAATTTCTTGCCCTAGCACGTCTGCTTTCCAGCAAGTGAATCACTCTCACCACTGGCCTCGAAACTGGGCTGTTGAACTAGTTTGAAATGAAGCACTCCATACACCCACTCACTAGTAGCTCAGCTAGCGAGCGCTGGAGTCGCCTGCCCAGCGTAGCACCAAGTGCTGAACATACAAGCGGTGGCTTAACAGGCAGTTTAGCAAGGCGGTCCACACCTGCTAAACATTTCGCAAAACAGACGCATCTCCCAGGGGATTTGGAACCGTGCACCCGGATGAACTTCGCACCCGAATGGAGGACATCCATTCGGTTCACCCTTGGTTTTGTTTGACTCGCTCCGAGCCACCTCCAAACATCCATGCGATCGCGATCTGACCTCGTTCCTCGCTCCGCCACGGCGTTTGACACGCACCGACTCGGGCGATAGCTATATTAAGCCGCCCGAGGGTGCGCTGAAGCAGACCGAGCCCTGTGGCGCTCGCCATCCCCCCGCCGGGGGCCCGAACGGGTCGAAAGGCGGTGTCGACCGCGACCGCGACCGGCCCTGGGTCCGGTCGACCGGGCGCGCCGACGGTCGGGTGCGCCGCTCCAGGTGCCTTGTATCTTGGGCGACTGGATGGAATGGAGTGGATGTACTCGCCCGTGGGAGGCCTAAGAGTGACGAAAACACAGGGGGACACTTTCACGACTGTCCGACGGGCAGCTGAAACTGTTTGATGGA